TTCGATCAGGAACTTCTACAGCTAAAAAGGAAAAGAAATGAGAAATGATAGTGGCTGGATTCAACGATTTTGACCTTTTTCCACATAAAATAATAGTTTTTCATTTAGCATGGGATTTATTCACCATACACCAGCGCTAATCATGGAGCGCTAAAAAATCATTACTTTTATTGTTTATTTGAAAAAATCTGCTGCCGAAGCCCACCAAACACGTTCAAAGGCTTACGGTGATGCTGCTCCATTATATCCACCAATTGTCGCAAGAGTTGTTCAGAATACGCTGTTGCAGTTCCAATGAGAAGTTCTACCACTACCAGTGTACTCACGAGACACGGCGCTCCTGATTACCACTTCTTCAAATCGGCGCAGCAATTGCTTAGCTGGCACGCCGTTTCCCAAAGTTGAAGAAGTACGAAACCAATATAACTTCTTTCTACTTAGCATGACCATTTTGCCAAAAATATTGTAAAATGTAGAAAATGATGGAAACTATTTTTATTAATATATATTGTACCAATTTTCCACAATAAATGCCTTTTTCAAGTGAAAAAATGATCAAAATTTTTACAAACACCTAATGAACGATATACTTTGTTCAATAATGAAAAGTATACAACAATTTTCCGCCAAGCACTTTTCCATTTGGCAAGAGTAGTCGTATTAACGCAAGCGTCAAAACGGTGATTACAACTAACCACCGCTATGTTTTGAGAAATAATGAAAAATACTAAAAAAGATTATAGAGAAATTCAGAGAGAGTAACTAATTGTACACTAAAAAAATGACGTAGAAAATATACTACAAAAAACGAGAGAGTGAGCGAGAATGACTGTGTGCATCAAAATGGTTTCAGCCTGAATGGAGAAAGATTAAACTAAACATTTTAACCACTTTAGATTTTTTAACCGAGCAGCGCCGACAATCGATACCTTGCACGCATTTTACAATCCAAAGTTAAGAACATAATAAAAATAGGGAAATTTAGCCGAATAAAGACTTTATGAAGCATCATTATAATGAGAAGGAAAATCAAAAAGAGGCTCAATGTGGTCGCTATTTAAAACAATAAATTTACGTGCCAACTCATCAGTGTGGATCAAATTCTATCATAAAATACTACAACTTTTACATAGCTTTAATATGCAGGCTTATTATTTGCGAGAACGTTCATGTCAGAACATACTTTTTTTTAATTTTTGTTGAGAAATCTTAAAAATGGTACACAGTTAATTATTTTGAGAAAATGAGACAAATTTAAACCGATTGCATAGGCCCGCAAGAAACTTGTGTACCCTTGGCCAAGTATAAAAACAGTATCGGAAGGTAATAAGAGGGCAACGCTTTATAAAAAAAAAAAATATTAAACGAAGGAAATTTTAAACGTGAATACTTTTTAGGTACCGGTATAAATAACTTTTTTCGTTAATAATACGACAAATGACACAAAGAAAAGAAAGCGCACACCAATCCACTACAATAAAAAGCTACACATTTAGTGATGTAGAAAACACAAATGAAGAAATAACGCCAAAATGTTTTTTAAATTTTTTTCGAGTGTTTGAAAAAGTAAGTACTAGCTGTAAAGCATGTATGCGTTAACACTTGTTTTATTTTAAACTTATTAAAGTATTAGAAAAATACAACGGGTGTGATTTACAGACATGGCAACTTTAAAAGTTTTTTCATTTGTCTGGCTTTGACGTATAAAATGGAAGACAATGGAATCATCCCGGTCTATATAGAATCAGTCTATATGCTGTTCGAGTTAATTAGTTTCACTTATATATATATACACAAAAATTCGAATGGCAGGTGCGCATCGATAAAATTCGAAATCTCGTTAGCGCAAATTTGGAAACTACAAAGGTTCTTTTGGTTTAGTTAATTGGTTCAAGTACTTTTTGTTATTCTTTAAGACGTGGTGTTATTAGGCGATTGCGTTCATTTTGATGGGCGATTCCTACATGTAAAAATTATGTAGAATTGGGAATACCAGTGTACATAACGATTAAATTCAATGACTTTCTAACAATTCTCTAAAATAACACTTTCAAATCTAGTATTATTGAAATATTCAGTATATGCAGACGCACAAAATTGTATTTTCGGCATTCATTACTTTTATTGTTTGATTTGAAAAAATACGCAGAGGCCCGTCGAACATTTTTAGAAACTAATGGAGGTGCTGCTCGATCATAACCCAATTTCTGTCAATAACAAAGACCGCCCTCGTGAATTAAAAAGGTGCGAAGATAGTGAATTGAAAGATATATTGGACGAAAGCTGTGCCCAAACTCTTAAGGACATCCTAGCGATCAATAAATCAAAAGTTTTTAGACGAGGAGAATGATCCAAGGGGACGCAAAATGACTCCCATACGAATCGACTGAAAATGCCATTTCGAACCGTTTCAGCATCGCGGTAAGGTTGCTTACCTGCCGAAAAAGAAAAGTTTTCTGCGTCGAATTGTAACTGACGATGAAAAGTGGGAAGCCAAAGCGCAAAGCCTTGGTTAGTCCCAAGAACGAAAAGTTGACATAAATAGCTTTTAAGCTTTTAAAATTTTCACACAAGTGCGTGTATTATTATTAAGCAATACTGCAAAAAAATTGCTAGACCTTACAGTTAAATATAAGAAACTTATATATATATATATAGAACGCCTGGGACGTGCTCAGCAATAGACGTAGGTAAAGAATACAAACCGGTTAATCTTAGCTGTTTTTTTAGGTACAATAATATAAAGCGAGTATAAATAAAAACTCTGTTTGTTGTATATATAAGAACACGTTTTAAGCCGAAATAACTTGGTTATTGTTATGTATGCCGGTACTTGCACTTATAAAACTTAAATTCAATATGGAGCATCTTTGTCAACATATCCACCGTAATCAGTGCCATTATTTTCGCTATTGAACCACTCGGCAGGCACATGGGAGGGCGTATGTGTATCTATTTCTTTTAGATTGTACAAGCGAAAAAATTTAAGGGTAGAAAACTACACGGATGGGGGTACCCACGATTGCACGTCTTTTAAAATATAACCAAATAAAAAAAATTTGTTACCAAAAAAAAATTTTTTTTTAGATCTTGGGCAACTTATCAGTCCGTCTCAAACGAAATATGAACTAGCTTATTGTTACATTAAAGTGACCAGAAGATGCCTTAAATGGCACGTGTTACTTCCTTACAAGGAGAAGAAAGTTAGGTTTAGTTTTACTGATTAACTAATAATAGTAATTGTTGATGTTAAAATAGAAAAATAAAGTTCTTGCTTTAAAAAAAAGAAATATAAGCCAACATTCTAGAAATGTCACAGAAGTGTTCATTCTTCTTCTACGCTTTACCACAATAAACTTATATTGACCCTTGAAGAGGCTGTGAATTGACAACAAAAACAATTTTTAATTTTTTTCGCGCAACATGTCTTAAAAGAAGAGCGTCTACATATTCCTCCTTTTCTACCCAAAGATTCTAATCATTTTAATAATAAACAAAAATGCATTTGTTCGCTTTTCTGCCCACATAAATTTATCAATAGTGCATTAACATCCACATCCCGGAAAAGCTCGCTAGTTACTATAGCTACTTTGTTTTAAAAATGTACTTGTTAAGTATGTAATTATTTTTCTTAAGCGGGACGTTCACAGATATAAATGAGAGCGAACCTAACGAATTGATAAATTCTTAGATATATAACAGTGCATTGTAAATCGCGGCCTGAAATAATAACAAAAATCAATTTCTTCTTCAACTAAACTGACATAATTCACAATAACCTGATAATGCAAAACCAAATTTCAGCCGTAGAAAATTTTATGTAGCATATAGAAAGAAAAAAGTAAACTACATTATAATTTTTTTATGACATGATATAAGTGTTTCAAGTGCGTTCAAGAGGAAATTATTTAAATCTCATCCAAATTAATTAACTTATCCAAACGGAATGTATCTGTAATTTTATGGGCAGATTCATTGTACGGTTTATTTCTTTTATACATTAATTTGCTGCCTTGGGATAGTTAATCGTTTACTTTTCGTGCATCGATTTCTTCAAATGTGTAATCCCAACCGAAAGAAGCAATAGCGAAACAAATACAACCACACTTGCAAAATTATAAATGAGAAATCTCGCAATTAAGCAAAAAAAGGAATTAAAGTGGTGGCGAAAGTCAATATGAAGTACAGGTGCATTGGTAATAATAATAATATCACACGTTTACATTATCGGAAAGCAAGGAGGAACGATGGGAAACGACAGACGACGAAAATGTTGCAGATCAACTAATGAATACATATCATGTATCTTACATGAGTAAAAATAATGCAGAAAAAAGCTAGGGACAAAAAAGAAAGAAATAATCAAGCCGATTACACAACACATACGCAAATATATCATCATTATCAAATATGCTTATATTTCGTTTTCCCTAGGCTGTTCTTATAAAAAAATAATAAATCATTAAAAGAGAATGCGCTAAGTGAATACATGCTAAATTTTGTAATAGAGTAAGCAAATACACGTTTGAATCGGTGTATACACTCAGAAACAGTGCAAACACCCGTAATTGTATCATTGAAAACTTCCAGACAAAGAAAAATAACTCTAATCTGCAGCAACAAACAAAAATCAATTTAAATTAATATGCAAAATAAAATGAAGGATCGAAAAGGCAAGAATCTATTATAATTATATACATGTCAACGCACACTTTCGATGCTAAACGACAGCGTGAAAAAACGTATCTGCGAAATATTTGAGACTAAAAACACTATTTTCATATACCATTTCCTAATATATACAAAATTTATAAAATTGTCCCCTTGCTTACAGTTTTTATCATAAACTTCTCTGTTATAAGCAAATTTTGAAGATTTTGTTTTATTTTTGACGTTTTCTTTTAGCACAAAATCCTTATGCGTTTTTTGTTGCACATTTTTCACTTTTTCACTTATGTTTAGATTTAGAAAATAAATGAGTTTATTTTACTTATCCTCACCTTCAACATATTTTCATTTAAGATATTGTTTTTTTTTTAATTTAATTCTTTGAGAAGACGAAAAATTGTAGTGAAAAGCCACACAAACCAAAAAAAAAGTTTTTAATTCGTTTAGTTCGCGTCGTAAATGTCGCGTTCGTTAACATCGTCATTTTCTATGTTGTTGCTATTTCCTCAACAGTAACATTGGTGGTGCCTCAGAGTACAGAAATTTTTTGTCGCTTCGTTTTTAGTTTTTCTGTAAAAAATCTTTTCTTTTGCTTAGATCACACACTCAAACACACATTGGCTGTAAATGTGTATATATTATATTCATATATACATAAGTACTATTCATGCAAATTTTCACCTTTTGCAATTCCCATGTATACCCGAATTTCAAAATCTTTTTCAGATTTATAATTTTTTGGAAAATGCTTAAATTTTTGGGTACTCCATGTCTTATTACTTGTACTTGTGATTTTTAACAATTCTTTTTATTAATTTTCACTTTTATTTATGTTTCAGCAAATTTTCACTCGCTACTCTAGAAAATTAAATATACGACCACATTAAAGACCACCATTTTGTTATCTAGCAAAGAGAGCGCAAATCCATCTAGTAAACAGGGTTGTATTTTTCCTTTCAGTGAGAAAAGTTACAACAAAGAAGTGAACTTTTTTTATCATTGAATATTATTATTAATTAGGAAGGAATTTGCTGCTATCTACTTTAATTGCTATAGACAAAGACAAAATAACACAGGGATGTTATAAAGACTAGTTCCAATTATTATTCTGTACAATTATTAATTGTAATAAATTAATTAGCGTTTATGCTGGTTGGTCTCTTTAGTTACATTTTTACAATCGGATGAGATGAGAAACAAATATTTCTTTTTTACATTTGTATTTATAAAAACAGAGACGTTATTATAACCTAAACTTGTCGAAATATTGCCGGACTAGCGTAAATTTTCTGCCCAAAAATCTTGGCGAAGATCATTCTTAGTTGCCCATTGTCGCAGATTTCTGAATGACCTTCGTTTTGTCATAAATAATATAAAAAAATGACGATATCATAACCCAATCGCGCACTTTTAAATATTGAATGTAAATAATGCGAAGAAAATCCTATTTTTCATTACATTGCTGCACCATTATGTGAACGGGAATACTTGGGGCCATTAACGTCTACTCCTAAGATAATAAAAAAACAAAGCCGACCCAGGAGCGGTAGATGAAAAAATCTAAAATTCTTTTTATTTGATTTTATTATTCATTAAGTTAATTAAAATGTTTAATAAAAAGTTAAATTAGACCAAATAATTTTTAAATAAACGAAAATAAATGATTAAAATAGTCTTTTCTTTTTACTTGGCTGATCTTTAGGGTCTGAATCTTCCCGGATATTTCCTCCTAAGGTAATTTCTGCATTATTACCCAACTCACTTTTTTCTTCACAACTGTCAGAAAATAGGACAGGTCCTGAAGCCTTAATAAACATTATAGTCTTACCCAAACGCCTGCATTCTATATGACAGATTTACTTTCATTTACTATTTTTCAGAAGCTACAAAACCACAACTTACCCGCTCTTAAGAATAATTGTCTACCAAACCGATTTATAGCACATTTCGCTTGGTCCTCGGACAAACTAAATATAAATCCCCTTTAAGAAAAACTTTAGTTGTATAATGAACACTTTAGAAACATCACAATAACGTAATTACAAATTTGTCACGTCTTGAGGACCACGCAGCTCAAATACATTATTGGCACCACTGCTGATTATGATATTTTTTGATTTGCCTTTAATAAAATAATTGTGGGCAATTTTAATCAAATCTTTTCGGACCGTGGTATTAGTTATACATGGTGAATATTTTATTTCGAAGAATAAGCCTCTTTTTACAGCTAATTGATAACCCTTGCGACTGACGTGAATGTGGTTACCATGTTGGGCATCAAAGGTTAGTAAATCTCCATTAAACGCAGTGCAACAATGCTAATGGGAAAAAGATTATAAATTTCTTTATTTATCACATTAAAATGACATTAACTTACCGCTAGCGCAGCTTCAGTTTTGGGTTGTCCGGCAATAATATGGAATTTTCTTAGATTTATCGAATTCGTCTGAAGTTACAATAATACTCGATTTAGGGCTTTATTAATATATAAAGTATAAACATACCATTGCATGTGTAACCAATGCGTCTGCATAGCATATAGTTATACGTTGTAGGATTTTCAATTTATTCCGAAAATGTGTTTCGAGCCACATGAGATCGTGAGGCTTTGGAAAGACATCAGCTAAACGCTTACTATTTTCCTTTTTACTATGATCGAAGAATAGCTCGATAGCTATAGTTTTATAGCCCACTGTATGTATGCTATATTTAGTAACTAGCCAATTCAACTTAAACATTACTTACAAACGAACAGCTTTTCACATACTTCTTTAAGTAACACTTTATCTTCATTAAAAGGTATGCAAAAATCATAGAATTCCTTAGTTTCTTCCATTTTTTACATTCTTTAAAAAAAAAGATACTTATGGATGTAAACACGCGGTTGTTTACAAAAAAATTCTGACAATGTTACAACGCTGAGATTTTAAAGCGTATCTATCTAAAGAAAGTGAAAATACCAAACCAAACCGTGAAAATAAATCAAGTTGAAACGTTGTTCAAGCAGAATTCAGTAAATGGATAATCTCTTTTCTTTCTAAAATAAATTTAAGACCGACCAAACTCTCTGTCGAGCACATTTGTAATCCGCCGTAACAGGGATGTTTGAATTCAACCTTGTTCAATTTGTGTACTGCCGACTATATCAATGCAAAAGGGGTAATAGGTTTCCTTTCAACATACAAATAATTTTATTTTGACATTCCTTTTGACATACCTACATTGAATTTGTTTGATAATAACACAACATTCACATTAAAAAAATAAGAACGGCGTTGTCGAACACTCTAGAGGAACATTACATTCTTCTTTTTGATGGTTAGTTTTACTAAAACTGGGAGCATCCCCTAAAGGTATTGTCTTTTTTTTTATTTTTTGTTTATTAATTTATTTACTTACACATGAAGCTTAGCTAAAATAAATTAGCAGTCGAATTCAATTCACTTTTAGAGGTCAATTTTATACAAATTGTTAATAAAAACTATTATAAACTATATAAGAAGAAGTAAACAAAAAGAAGAAATTCATGTATAAACAAATAAGAAAGTAAATGAAAAACAACGCAAGTACACAACTAGCACAGAGGCATATACAAATGATACAGACTCAAGTTACAAGTGAAACCCTAAGCAACCATGCAAAAGCTTGGCAGCCGATACCAGTAAACAACCCCCGCTAATTTTCAAATAATAGTGGGATGTTAAGATTGGAATTTGGCTTGAAAACGACAGGAAAATCGCGCTTGATAGAGTTTAAAGAATTCCATATTGAGATTAACTGATAGACATCATTTAGGTTTCTGCAAACTGCTTTGAACGGACTAAACATAATTATACTTGCATAGACTAAGCTTAATGAATATTACCTTTGAACTGATTCAGTTGAACCCACATAACAACTGCAGGAAGAAGACTATACAATAGAGGCATACTTAAGTATTGGTGTATATATATATATATTCATTTATAGCCTTTTCGTAATGTAAGGATTTAAGCTCTTCTGATCACCACTTAATGAAACCAAGTGTGGATCTAGCTTTACTAAACGAGAGCTCAATGTGCAAGTAACCTATGGTCAAATAGAACGCCTAACTCTGTGATCGAATCGACGTCCTCCAACTTATGCGAATCTCTGAAATACTGAGTAATGAATGACTTTCTTCTTGAGAAAGAAAGCTTCTTACATTTATTCAGATTTAGTTTCAGAAGATTCAAAGAGCACCATGCAACAAAATTATCCAAATCAATGTAAACACAATTATGAACTGTTTAGCTCGTTCAGAGTTGTTTGCAGGAACCTATATGATGTGTACTACTTGTTCTCAATATCGTATTCTTTAAAGACTATCAAAAAAACTTTACTTAATAAGCGCGTTTTTCCTGTCGTTTTCATGTTGTATTTAAACTAACTTCCAATCTTAACATCTCACTATTATTTGAAAATTAACTGGGTATCGGTTGGCAAGCTTTTGAATGGTTGCTTAGGGTTTCACTTGCAACTTGAATCTGGAAGTTTCATGCAGGTTGATATTGAAAATACCACTTTACTCTTTACGTCCAAAAATATAAATAATCGGCCATGCCGACACAAAGCTACAAACGATTATATTCTGTTCTTTTCACTTTTTTGAGGTTTTATGCTTATTTATTGTAAGACAAATAAGAGCGAATGTTACGTTTTGTATATTCCTTAAAAGAATAGTGGGTATGCGAGTTTCAGCTTCCGTCGAATATAATTTTCTTACTTTTTTTTTTTTTTTCCTCTCCTTGTATACTTTGTATTTGTTTTTAATAATTACTATAAGCTTTACTTCTAAAAGTCAGCTGAATTCGACTGTTCATTTATTTTAGTTGAGTTTCATGTGTAAGTAAATAAATAAATAAGTTACGGCCGGTGGTTTATACCATATATTGGCGTACCTTAGTCGCATGTCAAAAACGTCCGACTCAGCGGGAGTTACAATGGCATTCCCAATGAGAAAACTAGCGAAGTTAGCGAAGTGGGATGATTAGGATCGCCGCTCATAAAGCATAGCAGTGCAGGTTTTATACATGCTTAAGTCCTAGTTAGCATTGTCGTAAATTTTTCGAAATCTTTAAATCTTTATGCCATGGATATATTTTTCGGATGGGCTTTACCACTTTTCACTCCATCTTCCCATAAGCCGCCCATATGGGAGCCCCCATAAATTTCATGTCAGTCCAAAGATTGAAAAGGAGTGGATAGAATCGTTTGAGATTTTATATCCTCCATAAATTTACGTGTCCCTTTAATAATTGGAGGCACCAATAAAAATAGCACCGTTATCCGAAGAAAGAATTGATGGAAATCCTCGACCGAAAAAGAAACGAGCACAAGCGGATAAAACGACTTGACATATCAGTTGTAGCTTCAAGATGAATCACTTTTATGGCGAAGCACACCAACACTAGAGCCTTTTGTGATTTTATATCCCCGTCCTACGTAAAATTTTATGTCAAACGCGTTGGCAATGTCAACTCTAGTATGGGTACACGGTCGGAGGCCAGTGCTGCCATAATTTGTTGGGTTTTCCATTTACGGATAACCATTTTTATTAAGTTCTTTATTTTAAGCACCCAAAGTCTAGATCGTGGGAAAGGCATCATGGGACATCAATCCCCTTTTGGAATATGAATACATGAATATGTTTAATTAGAAGTCGAGCGAAGTAAGCTATATATGGCCAAAATTTTGGAAAACGTTATATTATATATTATTATAAGTTCATAAAGTTAAAGAAGTTCATTAAAAGTTAGAGTGGATTGTACTAAACCAATGAACGCTTAAAAACGTTAACTTTACTACCCTTCGGTAACAATAACTTTCGACACAAAATATCAAATTCTGGGAAATAGTTCCTTTGACATGATCAAATGGGTTTCAATAGATTCCAACTCAGATTTTGTTATTAGGGGTGTCTTAGGGTCTTCTTTCCGGGTTTGTGACATTAATAAATCTATAGATAAATAACATTACTCTTAACACACGGGAAAATTTATAGAAACGTTTGAGGATATGGTTCATATTGAATAGCAGGATATGATTATATGGGCTTAAATTCTTCTTGAGTCAGAATAATCTAGCTTCAGCCGTTATTAAATTAGTATATACGTTTCTGGAGGGGTCTTGCATACGTATATAAAGAGTAGCTGCGAATGTTTCTGAGGTGGCACAAAAACTTTTAAAGTTTGGGTAGTAATCAATAAGCCTACGGACCCTTACATTTTCCATGCAATCAATAAAAGCACGTCGGTCGGAAACAATTAGTGGATGTATTGCTTCATCGCAATATCTATCTTCTTTCCAACTTTTCTGCATTAAGATTGTTGCCACTATTGTTTTTGGTGCTAACCATACTACTTGATCTAAAATGTTGGCAATGTTTGAGAGAACTTGTCCTTGTGATAAGAGTTTTGTTCGGGACACTTGCTGGTTTGATGTAGAAATAATCGTGAGTAACATTCCAATTGAACTGAGACCTAATGTAAGTAAGCTGATAAATTTATAAATTCTTCGCCTAGTAGATAATCTAACATTTCGCAACAGAGTGGTGTCGTTATAAGTCCACTTTCGTAACGAAAAGCAGAACTTATCCTAACCATAAGATTTAACACTTCGTTTTCCATGACAGTTTTACCATGGGCATCCTCTTGTCGGAGGAGTTGCGATAGAGCAATGAATCGGGATACCCCTGGAGTAAGTTTATCTGGATATCCGATTCAGAATGGTAGACGCATAATATAACGACTTCCAGCATTGCTGCACGTGATTTCGCGAAATAGACTTTCATAGTAGGCATCCTCTTTTGATTTACGGGAATCTCTTCTTGTCCCCAGAATTGCAATAATTGGTTGTTAAGATCAACAGAATTGAAAGATGGTCAAACAGATTGTAAGAGTCTATACTTATCAGCCTTGCCTGTTATTATCCCTAAAGATGATATTGTTCATCAAAAAATGATATTTTGATCTAAGTGGGAGGATTATGTACTCTTTCTAATCCCATCTAGTATTATTTCTGGGCACCAATCACTTGCCAGAAGCAAGTTTACTTGGAGTGCCTTATATATCGAATAATCAGCTAAAGGCAAATCGTACAATGGGAAATTCTTAATTAAATCAAATGGTAAAGAAGGAAGCCGACCAATAGAATTTTGTATAAGAAGAGCATTAAAGTCGATCTGAACTCATGAGTCCACTCGAGAGCTAGTTCGCATAGCGCCAGTACGAGTTTAATAAGCGGATATTATCCCATTAAGCCCTGTTATGTCAGTTTTAGTGTCGCTGGTTGATAGTGATAATTTTGCTTGTAACTAATGAGATCCAAACAGGCTTCAGATCCGGAATCCATGAGTGCCCCGGCTGTATAGTGTGTTTTTCCTATTAGAATATCGGCGAAGGCGGTACTTAAAACCAGAGAAGAATAGTTCATTCTCTGTAAGCTAGTGCTAGATTCAACCAAGCGATTTCAAAGCCTTCATTCTTTAACTACTTTTCCTTAGCTTACAATACAATTTATCGACTGGGTTTAGGTTAGGGTTATTGTTGTATAAAGCCAAAATGTTGGCCATGTTTTATAATCTTCTTTAAAAAATTCGTTATCGCATGGAGATAGGGAAATATTTGGATCTAGGCAGACCTAGGTTTTCACGAAATGTTAATCACTTGTCCAACTCTTGACTAATATGCGCGGCACATTGTAAGTAAGCTTTCTAGGTATCAACCCTTTTATTTCTGTAAGTGGGATTTCGCTCTTATTTTCATCAAAAACAACTAACATTTTGTTATAAGAAGCCGCGAAAGAGTCAAACAATGATCCTACTTGTTGGTGTTGACGATCTAAGGTGAAGACTGTGTGCTCGGTTGCTATAATTGTATCAAAATATGATAAGAAGGCGATGATCAACTAGGACTTACGCTTAAAGCTCTCTACTTCACTGGCTTGCTTTTCCGACATTATGAACGACCC